ATTTCCAAAGTCAGACCATGGTGGGTGTCAACTGGTGAAGTGAGCCCCTCACTCGCAGTTAAGAATTCAGAAAATAGCAAATGAAAAATTATGGTTTTACTAATATGTGATCTAATCTGGGGGCATACTTCCAGGTACAGACTGTTCTATGCCCCCCTCCCAAACCATGAGGCCAAGCAAGCCAAAGCTGCTACTGTCATCAGCAAAACCAAAGGGCAACTTCATTAAGGATAAAAATTTCTATTTACAAATAATTTTAATTGAAAAGTCCAGGGAGGTCTGAGGATGTAGTTGCCACAGCAGACAAAAAAGGGACTGAGGAGAACGGGCAGTATAAGCAGTGGGAAAAAGGTTTAAGGTAAAAGCTCTGGAAGTTTCTGAAATGGCATTTGTACAAGCGCAAAACCCATTTGTGTGAAACACAAAGACCATGACAAAGAATTGCATTAAGATAAGACAGGATACTTGGAGGAGCAAGGCTTGTAGTCAAGACAGCTACAGATACTTATAGTATTAGAGGCAGTTTGCCCCTGAATACCAGCTGCTGGCAACATGTGGAGAGTGCTGTGGGCTTCCCATGGGTATCTGAGCGGCCTCTGTTCAAACAGAACACTGGACTAGACAGGCCATTGGTCTCAAGTGATGCAGCTCTTGTGCTCTCAATACAAAGTTGTCTGTCAAACAACCAGATAACCCCTTCCAGATCTGGTCAGGGTCCAGTGGCTCATGGTGTTTCCAGGTTGCTCCTAGCTCTACTACAAACACTAGGACATCCAGAGTTTTTGTGCACATAACTTGTAGGAGGGAAAGTGTCTGCTCCTTTATTCTAAAGCAGAAGCCTTCCTATGTAGAAATTCTTAACAATCTTCATTAAACTACTGTATGTTCCATAAGATACCCTGCATGATACAGCCTTCTTAAGGAATTTTTTATTTTAAAAAAATTCCATTGTAGACATATGCTACATGAATACAAAATAGTAAGAGCCAAAGCACCTCTCTTTGGTTCCTGATGTACACACTTGCAAATTGGGCTTTTGAAACTTTCTGCAACCTGGGACCTTTCAGATGTTCTGGACTACAACTCCCATTAGCCCCAGCCATGGTGGCAAATGATCAGATGTTTTAAGGAATTCCAGTCCAAAACTTTTGGAAGACATCAAGTGTCCAAGAGTGAAGTGATATAATAGATAAAATAATATTTACAATTATATGCACAGTGGTCCTAACAACATCATGCTATTGTTCCATTACATAAACCTATGATTCTTTTTATTTTTAAATTCAAATGAAATGTTAATAAACCTCTGCACATTTGTTGCCTGTTTTAGATAAGCTACATTGTCTAGCATGTCTTCTCTTAAAAAAATCAAAACATGAAACTGAATTTCCCAATAAAAGCTTCCTGTAAGTTATCTCATACCCTCCATGAAATCTGCCAGCTGACGGCAGACCTGCTTTTCAATGAGAATGCAGTAAACTAGCCTGATGGAACTGAAGACACACACACACATACATACACAGGAAAGGCAACTGTAACCCTACACCAGATTGGAGTATTCCAGGAACATGTTCCTTTCTACCAATCAATAGGAAGCAACTAGGACTCAGTGGAGTGTAATGTCAGGAACCACTCCCCTTTGGGATCAGCCTCCTCTTTCTTGAAACTGTCTGTAAACAGAGAAAGGGAGGAGTCAGTCATGGTCTGCCAAGCGAAGCAGTAACTTTGCGAGTAATTTACTACAGGAAAAACAAGTGTTGCGCGCACGCATACAGAAAAACTACTAAAAACTCTTCATGACCACAAAAGATCGCTATGTATTCAAAGAGGGAAAATACAACATCGTTCAGCATGCTTTCTTCACCTGAAATGTTATTTATCAGCCATACTTGGACTCCGAACTACAAAAGAACATGCCACATGAACTGAAGGTAGGAATTTAAGGAGCTTGGTAACAACAGTTGTGATGAGACTGAGGCATGGGGAAGGGTGTCTGAGAGATATGAGGAAATCAATCTCAAGGCAAATGAGATATGTTCTCATTTGTGGACAAATAGCTTCAGCAATGAAATCTGCTAAAGATGCAACATTGTAGTTAAATGATAAAACAAAATTTTGAAGGAAACAATTGAATCCTTCTACACGCACAAATGTTTATTTAGGTTACCTACTCCAAGGCTTGTTTCTTTTAAGCTGTCTTGAACTGAAAATGATAGCTGACTTGGAATAACTGCTTACAAACTAGTACAGAATTGAGTGTTTATCTAAAGGTTTAAAAGCATAAAGACTGTTATGCTGGCTTGCTATGTGCTGCTATGTAGCCAACAAATCATATATGGGTTCCTTTTTTGTTCAACTATACCCTTATTTCTGAAGTGGACGGGGAGTATCTGGTTTCTTCTACAAAAATTCATATTCTGAATTTTCAAGTGAAAATGCATAGATTGACAACTTTGCAAAGAAAATTAATCAGTTCAAAGAAAGTAATTGTTGTTATTTGGTACCAGCTCACTTCTGACTTATGGCAGCCCTAATAGATTTGTGAAATATTTATAACGTGATTTTACCAGAGTCACCCCTCGGAGAGTTTCCATGGCCGAACAGAGATTTGAACCTGGGTCTCTTGAGTCCTTGTCCATCACTATTATCCACTCTACACCACACTGGCTCTCAATAAATACACTTGTCTGCTATAAAAGGCATGTGTTTGGGGTATAATATATAATTTAAGCTATCTGAGGTTTAACATAATGTTTATGAAATCCACAAATATGTATAAAAATAAATCTTATTAAAGCGAATGTACATTAAAGGAAGAATTAGGTCTAGGAATTGGGCTAGGATTTAATATTTGAAATACCATCTCAATTAGCAAATGTGAGTGGCCAAAATAGTATAAATGCAATTAAAGAGTACCGTCCATCAATGGATGCTGCTTACCTCTTCAGCCTTCTTTTCTCTGCCAGAGGCTGCACACCAAGCAGTGTTTGGTAAGCTGTGCCATAGACAGTTTACTAGGTTCATGGCTGAAGGGATGTAGCTCAATAGCACAGCATGTTCTGCATGCTGAAGATCCAATATTAACCCATAGAAACTTTATTTTTTTAAAAAAAGAGTCTGATAACCAACAGCTTTTCAAGTAGACAGTTCTGGATTAGATGGACCAAGAGTCTGACTCAGTATAAATCAACACTATATGTTGCGGATGTCTATGTTAAAATATTGAACTTTACTAGAGTAACTTTAAAGCTGAAGTGTAAACTTACACACTGCTGTAGACTTTTAAGATAAATGAAAGCTGTTCAAGAGTCCAGAAGTAAGTTATGCAAAATCCTTAAGTTTAATAAAACAGGAAATTACTATAAACAAAAGTAACACACCTTTAAATTAAGCTATGATCAAAGCAATTATAAGCACATTCATTTGGTGCTCCTGCAGGGAAAAGAGGGAAGCAAGTGCTCAGAAATTAAACAGTCATTTCTACGCCTGACAAAAGCTTTGGAGGTGGTTTGATTCCTGAGGTAGAAGAATGGTGTATAATTGGAAAGAAAAACAAAGCACATGTGCTTTGAAAAGCAACAAAGCAGTGTTATGCTGATTCAAGGCCAAGTTCTCTGGCTGTACACCAATCCAACTCCTCTGACACTATGCTACTGACACCTCACTTTGATACTTCACTATTTCTGTGCAAGGCAATCCACCTGCTTTGTATTAACAAAACATTTTTTAAAAAAACAAAACAAAACTCAGAGGGTCATACATTTCAATTTTTTTGTTTCAGCACATTTCAATTCTATTCTTAAATGTTTAAGTCTAATTGTGGTTTTGTGTCTGTGTTGTGGGGTGTCTTTCTGGCTTGTTTTTGTTTTCTTGGTAGGAAGAAGTAAAGAAAGTCTGTCTATATTAAATCATGTGCTTCATATGTACTGTGGTTTTGACTTTATATTATAAATAAAATACCCCTGCCTATAAAGCTTGTATCTCCTATTTGACTATCAGGCAGACAACACGTGCGCTTAGGGGTGAAGATAGGGAATACTATGTGCAAGTGCAATTGGGCTACTTTGTTTCATTTGAATGTGTCTTGGTAAGAGACAAAGGCTTTAAAGAAAAGCGACGCTCTCAGGCAGTGGAGTAAGAGAGAAAGGTGGCACATCCAAGTGCCTTGGGAGAATATTCTAGGCACATGTACCAGTGAAGAGAATGACCACATCCAATTTAGAAAGCAGAGTGTAAAACAGAAAGGAAGTTTACAATGTAAAGGACTGGGAGGCATTGAGCAAATTATAGGAAAAGGGTGGCATGGAAATACTCAGCTACAGAAACTGGTATTACCGACCTTTTATGTAGTTGAATATTTTTTCACAGAATATAAAGCCCCTATGTGTCTTACAGAAGGTCAGCCAAAAAAAGATTTTTGAAAAACCTTTGACACTCTCCATCTTAATTTCATTCTGAAAAAATGTAGGTAACTATATCTAAATTATGGAACACTACTGAGGTCTGTTGTCAAGAAGCAGGAGAAGAGTCAGGGAAAAGATGAAAGAGGGGACAGGATCTGGAGACCCCAAAAGAGAAAAAATGAAGCTTTACCGAAAACCAGGCCACAGGTGAATAAGAGTTAGTTGCCATTTGTGGCATCTGAGATCAGAATGAGTGACAATTAAGGTAAACTGAAAAAGTAATGCTTATCCCAACAACAGAAATAATTAAGAAGCCCTGTTAAAAATTGAATCAGAAGCACAGCAAAACTAAGAAATGAACAACCACCATGGAAGCACATCCAATTTGTCAGGTATATATTTAGATTTCTTTGGACCTGAACAGCAGTGTGAAATTGACTAGAGACTTTTTTTAAATTCCGCCCTCTTCAAATTTAAAATGTATCTCTATAGTGCTTTATATGTGTGGTTCAAAGAGAGAGGGGGAGAGAGAGACAGAAAGATGACCCCCTCCTCCCAAATAAACATACTTAACTTCTTTCCTTTTCTTCCATTTAGAAAAAGCTGGTAAACCAGCAGAAAAGATACGGCTATCAAGGTCACTATGTGGAGCTGTGAAGCTTTCAATGATACCAAAAACATAGAGGGCCAGCATCTCTGCCATGATTTTCATCTTGTACTTTCCATTTTTTCATTGCTCTACCTCATCATCTGCTTCCCTATTGGCCTTTGCTACAATACTCTTCTGGTCCTAGTTAACCTATACAACAAAGCTACTATGACCATGCCTGATGTATACTTTGTCAACATCGCAATTGCTGGCCTCATCATCAATACCATTGCACCAATGTACCTTTTGGGACCTGCCAATACAAAATGGGCCATCTGGAGTTTCAACAATGAAGTCTATATTACCTTGCTGATCTTATTCAATGTGTCATCTTTGGTGATCATGTACTCCACTACGCTGCTCAGTTTGGACTACTACATTGAACGTGCTTTACCAAGAACTTATATGTCTAGTGTATACAACACAAAGCACGTGTGTGGATTTATATGGGGAGGAGCTATGCTAACTAGTTTTTCATCTCTTCTATTCTATGTCTGCAATCACGTATCCACTAAAATAATTGAATGCTCCAAAATGCAGAACAAAGAAGCAGCTGATGCCATTATGGTTTTTATTGGATACATTGTACCTGCTGTTGCCGTGGTATATGCACTTGTGTTGATTCTGCGAATACGCAAGGAGGCAACACCACTGGACCAAGACACTGGAAGACTTGATCCATCAGTGCACAGACTTTTGATTGCGACAGTTTGTACACAATTCACATTATGGACCCCATATTACATAACTCTTCTCGTAAACACACTAACGAGCATGCAAGGAAAAGTCATGGATGAAAATTACACCCGAGTATTACATTTTACTAAGGGTCTGTCAAAATTCTTGGCTTTTTCCAGCAGTTTTGTCATGCCTCTACTTTACCGATATATCAACAAAAACTTTCCAAACAAATTGCGAAGGCTGCTTAAAAAACTGCACTGTGGAAATCAAGGATGTTCTCATGAACGCACAGTTGTTCAGCAAGTCATAACGTAGGTAAAATTGCATGCTGCTTGTAAAGTTTATTTCTCAAGACATGCTCACGAAGAACTACCTAGCAATGATTCTGAAAGGAAGACAGATTTAACCTTCATAGGAAGTAAAGATGTTTGGGAAACTCTGCTGAGAATCTGTCTGTCAATTATAAACCTTTGATTTCTGACATTTTCAGTGCACTGATTCAATCACACAGTGTAAGCTTTGCTCTAGTAATCTGACTACAAAGAACCACTAGAGGGCTAGCTAAACACCTAGCACTTTGTAACTTTGTAGAGCTAAAAAGAAGTATTTTTATGTTTCATATTAAAAATAATGATTTTAAATTTTTTAAATATTTTTATTTTATGGTTAAGATCACATCTTTGCAATTAAAACTATCTCCACTACTTGCCAAGCAGCGCAACACTCTAAATAATGAAGTATCAACAATAACATTACTTTAGTACATCATAATACTTTCTCCCTAATTTTTCAATATTCTTACACAAAAGAAACCATTATCTGCAATTCTAAATACTATGCACAGATTTATCTTTGTTTTAATGCAGTCATATTTTCTCCAATTAACAATGAATCCCAAATGTGTTTAACAGTGAAGCCCCAAAGCATTTACCTATTCTCTTTATTTTGCTCCAGGGAAAAATAACATTTCATATCTACTTTTAAAAAAAGAAGAAAAAAAAATCACTTTATCAAGTAAAATGAAGGACAGTGTTGATAACTTTAAAGTGAAAACTATCACACAGAGTTAAACCATGACTGTTAGGGATGTGCCATCCGGATTTTTTGGACTCCAATCTCCAGAATTCTCCAAGACTTCCTTAGATAGAATTCTGTGACTTCTCACATATAAACATTGCTAACGATACACCTATGTTTTGCTTACTTGGAGAAGGGCTTAGTTCAAAGCCTTCCTGGCCTAGCTTTCTGTTAAAAAAGGAAGCTGCCCCAATACTACATGGCAGTCCTCAGGCTCCCTGGCAAGTGCAGTTATTTGGGAGACACCCTCTATACATTCCAATAGGTAGTGAGACTGCACACCCCAGGGACCTCTAAGACTCCAGTGTCACTCTGGGGCAGCTAGGATGGAGCTAGGTCACAGAGTCTTCAAGGTATGCCTTTCTCCAGGTGAGTGAAATACTGGTGTTTCTGTAGGTGTAGGTCTGTGGGATGAAACTCCCACAATTCTTCAAGAATCCCCCAGGCTGAATTCTGGAACATGGACTCCACACAATCCACATGGCATGTCTAATGTCTACCTTGCCATATGGTCCACAAATATTCATACAGACATAGTGCATTATTTTAATAATTGAATAATTTGTTTAATTATTATGTTTCTGATTGTTATTTTCAAGATATTACCTCTGTAACTGAACATCAGAAAAGCTGAAAGTTCCAAAACTGGACGTTCTCAGTCTCCTTACTGATCTACAGAGGAGACAGACAAGACAAACCTCATTCATAGTTCCTTACAAGTTTGCACCACAGTTTGATGAGAATATGCAACCTAGGAAATGCACTAGGAGCTGAATTCTGATCATTCAAGCCTTAGGGATGTTGTATTAATACAGACCTGGTTTTCTTCCTTTGTATATATTACTAGTCTTTCCATAAGATACAAGTCAACAAGCTGGCTAGATAGCTCAGAGAGTGGGTGTCTGGCTGCAGGGCCAAAGGATGAGTTCAATTCCCCACTGTGTGTCCCAGGAGAAGTGCCAGCTTGTGTAGCCTTGGACATGCTGCACAGTCCCAGGGCACCCCCAGAAGAAAGAAATAGTGGATTATTTCTGAGTATTTTATATCTAGAAAACCCTGAAAAGGGCTGTCATAAATCAGAATCAACTCGACAACATGTAATTATAATTATTATTATAAAGATGAAGTCAAGGCCAGGGTCCAAAGGGCCATATATGGTGTTCCATGCACACAAACACCCTTTTTATTCCCACAATCACCCTCAGAAAACCTATGCTAAGATAGTCAAGGGACACTTAAGAGCTGGACTAAGTTGAGAGAAAGGTAAACAAATGAAAGGGGGATATCGATAATCAATAGCCATCCACCTTTCCAGAAAATCTGGATTTTCTTTCTCCTGCTCTTCAGATGAAGGATCTACTTCTAATAATGAAAAGAGACCCTGGGCTTACAACCACCACCCACAATCTAGGTTGGAATTGGGTACTCGGTCCAACGCTGGTACTGAACTATACACTTCTATGAGAAGACAGTTATGGCAGAAACGTAATAGAAAATGCTACATTTACCACAAAAATGATGAACAAATAATTCAAGGATCCATTGCCTTCATCATAAGAGAGAGAGAGAGAGAGAGAGAGAGAGAGAGAGAATTTCAGTACAAATACTAGGAGCTGTACAAATACTTTAAAAGAACAAAACTTCAGTTGTGTTAACCTGAGAGACTGATATCCTGATTTGTATTATCTAAATGGTATTTCAGTCCTACATAGACATTATGTGAATCACAATGGCCTTTTCTGTTTTTCGGCACTGAAACTGCATGCCGCAAAACTATTAGTAATGAAATACTCCTTGTCTTATCTTTCTGCATCAGGTCAAAATTTCTTCTTTCAACAGGAAAATATTTAACCCAACATTTCTAATCTATGAACACAGTCAGCTGTTTTCTCAAAACACAGGTAAACTAAGAAGGTAAAAGCAAACTGGCACTAGAGTATCTTTTAGAGTTCCATAAAGCTTCTTAACGTTTGGAGAAGAAAGAATCTTATCAACAGTTTCCCTTCTGTAATGTATTATGCTGTCCTGGTTTGCCTCTCTCACTGTCTATTTTCTCTCAGAATAATGCATTGTAATTATTCGAAAGTTAACCCACTGAGCTCAGCAGGGTTTACTGTCTGGTAAGTGTCCTCAAAACTATAGCTGCTAGTAACTTATATCAAAACCACATCCTATGCATTGAGCCACAAGTTCAAAATGTTTGCATATGTCTTCAGCAATCTTATTCATTTGGTATGTGGTAAATTCTCACTTCTATGTTGTTCTATTTAAATACAGTAGACTTATTTTCATAAGGATGTGAAGGTGAGGGGGTGTCTGAAGGAATTTTTAGGTGTTTCCCAAATAACATACCATAAATTCACCCTATGTTACTTTTTCATCTAAAATGTAGAGAAGAATTCTTACTGTCATACACAATATTAAAAACTCTGGGTCTGGTATGTTTTTCCAATAAATATTAAAGTAAATTTATAAAAAGACAATGTTTTACAACATTTGCATCACAAAAAAAAAATGAGTCCTACAAAAAATATCAAGCCTGAAGAACAAGAATTTGAAGGGATGACAGATGAAATCTGTTCTCAAAACTTATGCTTGTCAAAATGCATGGCCTTTCCTTTGAATACCTGAAGGTTTCAACTACTTTGTAAATATGAGCCAAACTGGTTAGCATTGCAATGAATATTACTGTATATATGCAGACAGGAGCAGTCTACTGATGTAAAAATAACATATAAAATTTTTATTAAATTATTTCCTAAGATACAAATGTATCACAATTTAAAAGTTCTCTATGTTGTTAAAGAATACTGTATACAGCTTTGTGTGTACAGAAAATCAGCACAAGAGTGTCATTATTTACTGTGTTAATTTCTGAAAATAAAGATTAGTATTTTTTAAAACTATTTATGATTTGTAGGTTTCCTGTTAATCAAAAACAGATTATATCAGATCAATGAACTAATAAAATGGTATACCACTGCCTCTATCTGTATTACTATTGTTTTAACTATTTAAATGATAGTTTCTTGGATTTTGATATTCATCTCAAAACAGTTATTCTACAAAATATTGAAGGCAGAAAGTACTTTCGCTTTATTACTTTAGCCAAAATTATCCATGTACTAAAAATAAGCTAGATAATGTAAATAACTGTTGCTGGCTTTGCAAAATGTCAGATACATAAACTAGCAAAGAGTGTTGCAATCCAGAACTCTTTTCAACTAAAAGCTAGATAAGCCTCTGGTGATAAAAGATCCTCACGATTTTCATGACCTAATACAAAGTATTGGTACTGACTTAAAATGCACAGGTTTGGGGGTATTGACAGGATTTTGTTTCCCAATATACAAGTGACCATTAGTTAAGATCATCTCCAGAGGCTCTTCTCCATGTGCCTCAATAGGAGGCTATTGATTTTTAGTAACAGAATCCAAATTATGGAACTCTCCTCCTAGGCATGTTCTCATGGTACCTAAAGGAACTCTTTCCCAAAGGATGTTAGCTGGATCTATCTCTCAGCTGATGCCAACTTGTTCATCCTTTCACCATTAAAGAAATATGTTTTCATTTAAACTTGTTAAATTTTAATTTATTTAAATTTTAATTTATTTGACCATTCCAGTACTTCTAGAAATTTATTAATTTAGTTTAATCTATGAGTCCAAAAGTGTTATATTAAATGGCAGCATACAGACATACTAAACTGGGGAGTTGGAAACTCAAGAATTATAGATCATCTGTGATTCCCCCTTATATTTTCTGCCCTTCCCTCCAGAACCCCAATGAATTTGCTACAGTGAAAAAAGAAGCTTCCTAGAAGCACAAAAAATGTCATAAACTGGGACATCCTTTTCTTGGCCCTATTGGGTTTGGTGAGTGTCAGTGCACTCCTTCCAGTGTCCTGATGTTGTTCACCTCTATGCTAAACAAAGATTAGTAAAATGTGCTGGGTCATCAGTACACTGAGTAACTGTGTTCAAATAATGATTAAATGGTTTGTACATGCTTATGAAACACAGCATTAGCAGGACAGTTTTCTCTAGCATTATGCACTGAATCTGAACAGAGAAATTCAAAATCTGGGATAGCATTCTTTCTGGAAGGATTGTCACAGCTTTCTGCACAAGTCTTACACAAATGAATCCAGAACATAAAATGATTAGGTGGGCAGTGCTCAAAACATGCATGTTAGATGAAAGAGGAAATGAAATAATGAGAAGGTTGGCACAGATTAATTAATTAAACCATTTGACTTCTCAGCTTTCTATTTTCTAGATACAAGATACAACCATATATCCCAAGATTCTGTCTTTAACAGCCTCTAATTCTTCCAGTGTGAAAGTCTTGTGTTGTTACAGTATTAATTTCCATACTAAACACATGAAATACGAACAAACCACATGGAAAACCTAACATTCAAGTCACACTCTCCCCTTCCAGAAAATATCCAATCCAATTCCACAGCATTCCACAAAACACTGCATGCCAACCAACATGAATTCTGCCTAACCTCAGCTCTCAAGTCAGAGCTGGAGAACACTGTTTGGCCTGGGCAAAACTCTAATTTGGGAAGGATATTGTGGGTTCATTCCAGCAGCTGGCAGTGCTAAGGGCTAAGAGTGGGGGCCAAACAAAAGTGGCCGAGGTGAAAAGTCTTGCCAATTTGTATATTTTCCCACCAAGCATATAAAGGATATCAAAATTCAATGCATGTTTATTCCATGAAACACACTGGGTGGCAAGGAAGAGCTCAGTTCCATACTAGAGATGTATCATTGCAAAACCAGTACTAATTTCCATGCAATACCTCCCAGGACTCTATCTTATTTTTGACTGAAGATAACAGCAAAAGAGGTTTGGTGGCTAATGGGGAACCTCACAAGCCTGGGGAATTTTCTAGAAGATCATATTCAAATTCCGTCATGGTCTGGGAATGACAGTAGCCATTGTTGTTGTTTTCATGCTATGTATATAAGCAACTGCCAGTGAGTTCAAGAAATAATTTGTGTATCTTGGGAAAGGAGGGAAATCTGGAGAATTATAATAATTATACAGCAAACACACAGGAAACTAGGAATATGGCTTTTAAATATTTATTAATTCATTTATTCCCATTTCTATGCCACCCATTAGTGTTGCCATACTCTATAGTCAGTCTGCAATAAAATCATAGACTAAAAGACTAAATACAATGATACAATAAAATGCAATATACGCTTTCACTAAAACTACCGTTAAATAAAATAACACAAATAAAAACCCATTTGAATATCCCAGGACAATGTTTACACTAGCAGAAGGTGTAGCGAGCGCACTGAGGCCTTTATTATCTCAGGCCTCCTGGAGGTGCTCACTCTTCTTCACAAGTTGCTGCGACCAATATTTCAGTGTCAATACTAATTATTCAGTGAGACAAGTGTAACTTTGAAACTTAAACTTGTTTATTAGATCAGTAAAATAAAATAGGTAAATCACAAGTTGCTAATCAATATCTCTCACTCACTGAACTCACTAACACAGAGAACCCTACTCTCACTGACTTTCTGGCTCACAGGCCCACAGACTCACGAATCTCCCCCCCATACATCATACACACATCTTTATATCCCAGCCCCTCCCCCTTTAGCACCACCTTCCGTTCCCTCATTGGCTGCTTTTCCACTGCTCAGCTGCGACAGACAGGTGAGGGCAGGGCCGAACGCTACAGAAGGCAGCTTCATATAATTGGTTCTTAATTAGCTTCCTAGAAACAGAGAGGGATGGTGCCTGGTTAACCTTTATAGGAAGTTTGTTCTAAAGGGAAGATGCCATGGCTGAGAAAGCTTGATTCCTTGTGTTCCCCTTTTTTGCCTCCTTAGATGTCACAATTCTTAAACATCAAGGACTGTGAGGACAGTGTGGCACAGGTAATTATTTTGTGGGAGAGACATTTCACCAGATATCAAGATCTTAAACCATTATGGGCTTTATAGATTATGACCAGCACATTAAATTGAATACGAAAACTAACAGGGAACTAATGAAGATGCGCCAAGACTGGGGATATCTGCTGGTACCTGTAATCTGTCTGACCACCGCATTTTAGACTGCTTATGTTTCTGTACTGACTTCAAGTGCAGCTATAGAAAGAGAGAGCATTACAATATTTCAGAGATTACTACTGTTAGGCAGTTTTTATCCAGGTAGGGGCACAGCTGGCCAATCAAATGAAATTGATAAAAGGCACTCTTCACCATCACAGATATTTGCTGCTTCATAGAGACAGATGAGTCCAAGAGTACCCCCAGACTATGAACTCTTCTTAAGGGAGAGTGTAACCCCATTGAGGCCAGGAAAAAGCTTGCTAAGCATTCCAACAATCCTCCCAACAGGAGAATCTCTGCCTTATCTGGATTCAGTTTCAGTTTGTTGTCCCTTGTCCACTCCATTATTGACACCAGGCAGAACTCAAGGACTCACACAGTTATCAGCTGTAGATGAAGAGAAGGGGAAATAGAGCTGTGAGTCATTTACATTTTGATGACAATGAACTCCAAATCTCCATATGACTTCTTCTAGTGGCTTCTTATAGATACAGTACTGGGGAAATAACTAATCACTGTAGGACCCCGTAACAGAGACACCAGGGGGTGGACAATACCTCCCCAAGCTGTACCATCTGGGATTGGCCCCAAAGGAAGGACTGGATCTACTAAAAAACCAGAGTCTCCAAGTCCCAAGCTCAATAGCCATCCCAGAAAGATACCATGGTCAATGGTATCAAAGGCCACAGAAAGCTCCAAAAAGACCAGCAAGGTTCTACTCCCCCATCTGTCTTCAACAGGATATCATCATGCAGGGTGAGCAATGCCCTGTCCCATGGCATGGCCTGAACCCCAACTGAATCTAGACTATCTGTTTCCTCTAAGAAAGCCTGTAGCTAGTCAGCCACCATCCTCCCAATCACCTTGCCCAGGAAAGAAGTGTTGGAAATGGGTCTATAGTTGTTAAGATCATTTGCTGCTAGATTGGAATTCTTTGCAACGGGCCTAATAATGGTTTCCTTTAGACAGGAAGACAGGGATGCATTAATGATGTGAGTAGCCCATTCCATGATCATTTCATTTCCTGATTTTAAGAGTCATGATAGGTAAGGATCTAGAGAGGAGGTGGTTGTTTCGCAGCTCAACACGTCCAAAGCATTTAAACATTACTCTTGACTGGGTTATGCCAAATGGGCCCCATCACTGTAGTAGGATGGGTGAAACTTTGCCTCCTGTAGAAAAGGAAACTCATATCTAGCAACCAGGTGTTAAACTAAAGACCAGTCTTAAGATCTAAGATTCTTAAAAACAACATGAAAACCTTAGTACTAGGCAATGTATAAACACATATAGCCCACACATCCTTTTCCCCTTTGAAAGCTAACAGAGGACTGGAGAGGCATTACACAAGTTAGAAAGTCCATTGACTGATGAATTGTATATACTGACCAGAGGTGGCCACACAGACACCCATGTTCAGTTGGAAATAACAAGTGCCATGAAGAGTATGCTAGGGATAGATTCCCTTGAGATAAGCATGAATTGAATTATAATTCAGAATTAATCAAAACCTTGGTACTCTTAAGATGACTGGTTCCAAATCATGGCAAACCTCGAGATTACATGGGCTCTCCCTGCTTATCTCCTTGCTCATTCTAGAGAATAAAAGCTTCCACATTTCCTTTTGTCAAATTTCTTGTTATACATACATTTTGGTAATTGTGGTTTATTTTAATATTAGTTAATTAATAAATCAGAATATTATATTACAGTTTGAATCTGACTTTACCAAAAAAACAAAAAAACAAAGTTTGAATGAATCAGTTTGTCATGTTTACACATATTAGAAGAAATACACTTGGCAAACATAGATATGTAGCTACATAAAAAACAAGTTAGTAACTACTCTTTGAAAAACTCCACCTTGTGGTTAACTGCAGAATGCAGACAATGCTTTCATTCTAAATACTTGTAACAAGTCTTACTGAATGCTGAGATGCTACTCTTCAGGTATCCACTCCTGTTACAGTCTAGGAGTGATATCAATCACTGACATTTTAAAAAAATTGGTCAGATTTCTGAATAAATGAATGAACAGTATCTCTTTGTCTGCACAACTGGGAATAATAATGCAGAAAAATAATGACTTGTGCAAGTCTTAGAAGTGACAGGGCAAAGGATTCATTTGAATACTAGACAGCTCTGCCATCAGTAGAACTTATATCCTCTTCCTCTTTGTTCAATATGAAAACTGCTGGAACATCACTGCTACATTAGCAGAGACTTTCTAAAACAAAATAGACAGCTACCTAAATTCACATCCTGCATTCAGTATTTGGAATTTTCCAGCATATCCTTTTAACCTTCAACATTATCAATGACTGCCAGAGGTACTTGTTGCCTTCAACATACTGTACTGGTAGCTTTCCACAAAACACCACTGGGAGACAACATGAGATATAGAAAGCAGTATAAAAGATATAAAAGTAGTATATCACCATCACAATCTAGAGCTCCAAAAATTCAAACAATCCAGTAGCTATCAGGTCCCTCTACATTTGAAAGAGGGGTTTTTCTAGGCACAGCCTAATAGGCCCTGCACCTATTTTAAATGGTGGCAAATTAAAACAAAGCAGGAAGCACTAATGACACACATGTTCCCCTCTCTCACTGGCATATTCAGATCATCCTTCTCCTCTCCTTTTATTCTGATTCTTCTTAGAAAATCTCACTAGTTCCTATACAGTACTACCAGTAGGGATCTGCAGGACTCAATGCTCCCTGAGCAAAGGGATCCCTTTCTCAGAATATCACCCACTTCCAGAAATAGCAATTTGTTGCTGATTGGAATCCCCTTCCAGGTCCCCCGCCCCCCCCCCAAAAAAACCTCCAGGACCTCAGCAACAGTAAAAGGTATGGGATCCAACCCATATAATGTTGTTTCAAAAAGAAAAGCCTACGCATGATCCATCTGGATTCTAAGACCTTCTATAATGATTCTACATCTGTCCTTCTATAAGGATTCTTTCTTCCTTTAGCTGTTCAATTTAAAATTATGGACTTAGATGAGATACAGTTGAAATTAAAAACAAGTGAAAACATTGTTTTTATATGTGCATACATGCTGAACTGTACACTTAAGGGATGTACACTTTGGAGAAGATAAAATGTAAATACAATAATAGTTACAGTGGACCCTTGACTTACAGACTTTTTGAGTTACAGACTTCTCTGGCCGCAAAATTTAGGTTTGACTTGCAGACTGAGATTTGACTTACAGACCAGAAAAAAACCAAAATGGAACAAAAACGGCCTGTTACAGGATTAATCGGTTTTCAATGCACTGTAGGTCAATGGAGACTTGACTTACAGATTTTTTGACTTGAGAACCGCCTTCCAATACGGATTAAGTTCTCAAGTCAAGACCCCACTGTACTCCTTACTGACAATATAATCAGTGTACTCTTTATGATGGAATCTGCCGAGTGGCGAAATGATTTGAGTATGCAATGGGGTAACACATCTTGGGCAAGACACCTTGAGTTTCTTTCCAAGACAGGAAACATATGTAATTCCTAAATTATTCAATATCAACATCTGATACTGTTTTACCTGAAGCCTATGAAAGACTTTTTAATACAGTGGTGCCTCGCTTAGCAATTGCTCCGCTGAGTGACGAAATCGCTTAGCGACGCTGTTTTTGCGATCGTAAAAGCGATCGCTTTGCAATGTTTCCTATGGGGAAAATTCGCTTTGCGATGATCGTGGGGAAGCGATCATCGCAAAGCCTCCATTTTCGGCCAGCTGATCGGCGGTTCCAAAATGGCCACCCACTGTTTTGCCTCGCTTTAGAGGCACCGAAAATGGCTGCCGCAATGGAGGATTTTCGCATAAGGTTAGGTTTTAAGCCCATAGGAACGCATTAAATGTGTTTTAATGCGTTTCTATGGGCTTTTAAAAATTGCTTAGCGATGTTAACGCTTTGCAGTGATTTTTGTTGCACGGATTAACATCGCTAAGTGAGGCACCACTGTATTTAATATATATATTAATACGTATTTTGCTTTCATATCTGCTTGCACAGTATGCTGAAATTCAGAACATATGGCTTTGAAAAATATCAGTGACTATGCTTTATTTAAAATATAAACCAAATTATAAATGAGAAGCCACTGGATGGCCTCATGCACTCAAAAATATACGGCTAAACACTACTTTTCTGTTCTGAGAACTGAAATACCCTCCTGTGTAGGTCAATTTGAACTATAAAGTCACATGATTTAGCCATATGCCTGGCTAAAGATGCAACGTGTACGGTTTGAATTATGTGTAACCAAGTTCCTGTTCCTTCCAGAACTGTAGATTTTTTATAGTCTGAGTTTTTAGCTGATGACTCCACCACGTTCAGGAAGCCAAGTATGTGCTAAAACTGTTATTTTTCTGTGAACTGCAATTGTATTTCACCAAGTTGATGAACGAGAGAGAGAGAGAGAGCGCATCGGTCTGTTGTATTTGTGGAACACTCTTTCACGGGTAAGTTTTTTACTTCATTTAAAATATGAAATAGTTTCATCACCACTACAAAATTACTGTGAGAAAAGGGCTTTGCTCATTAGTGTTTTCTAAAAAACAAAACCACATATCACATTTTAGAAACTATGTTATAAAAATTAAAGACCAGAATTTGTTTCTATGGATTCTTTTATAAAACTTTATGAATAACTAGTATCTCATGGTTCTTAAACATTCAAGTAGCCAAATTCTTGAACTATTTAAACACAAAGGGGTGGTTGCAGGAGTGGGTTGGTGGGACCATCTATTTCTGAAATACTGCCTTCTGTTGTTTTAGAATAAGATACAAACAAAAGCTGCATCCATTCCAGATTTCAAAAGCACCACTGCTAACATTTTTTTCTCTACACAGAAGGAAAATCCATTAGATTTTAGACCTTTTTCTCTAGAAAGTTTTCCTTTAACAAAATTCTCATTGTAAACAACTGAAGTTACCCAGTTTTCATTTCTCTGTCTCTACATATAATGACTCTAAATTTTGCTAGAACTAAATCACTGCCACAATACAAAAATAATACAGTGAATGTTTTCTTTAAAATTATAAACATATTTACATCAAACATTTAAAATGGTAGAGATACTTTGGATTGCTAAGAACAACACTCATTTTACAAAAACTTTGTGTGGGCAAAACTTTTTTTTACTTCAGAGAAAGAAAGAAAGAAAAAGAGAGAGAGAGAGAAAGAGAGAGAGAGAGAGAGAGAGAGAGAGAAAGAAAGAAAAAAAGAGACACATGCTCACCATTTATATATATATATTTCAGTTTCTTAAAAAATGTTTCCTAACATAGTAACATGCCTTGGAAGCTTTGAAATAAGCTGGCAGTTTAAGCCATTCAACAGAAGTCCTAGACTTGGATGCTTCACACAAATGCACACAGGGGGGAAATAATTTGAAGTCCTGGCTCCCTGGAGTGATTGACCCAGTGTATCTGCCATCCTAAACTGTCTTTTATATTATGTGGGGAATGATTCAGCTCCATCTATCGGCAGCAAAGGATAATTTATTAGCTAAATGTATAAGCCTGAGAACAGGATTCCAGAACATTTTTACCCTCATTGCCAAAATAAATATAGCTTAACATACTGGGAGCACACTGCCTGAGAAGGGCTCTTTTTAAAAAATGGAATAGTTATACAAAGTCAGAGAGAAACAGAAAGAACACAAACCAATAGATAAATTTATGAAGAACATGTGAAAAGTAAGCAAAACAAAAACATTTAAAAACTACAGAAAATTTGAACAATCCCTTAACTTGAGATCTTGTTTGTTTACCACATTTTAAATCACATGACTTCTAGAACAATAACCTCCACTGTTTTAAAACAGGAACAAACATTATATCCTTACTCTCTCAGCATTCGGACTGTATGGTTCACTGGAGGTTGATACTTTCCTTAGTGAGAAGTTGTGAAATCCTAAACCAGGAGCTTCTCATCGACACCTTGCTCACTGTCACCATCTTTCCCTACATTCGACATATAACCATAAAAAAGTGCCTGGTTTCTTCTAGGTTAGATGTTCATTTGGTTTAAAGAACTGACAAGGCCAGCATACATTGAACATACAATGTAGAATGCTGTCCAGAATTCTCAGCCCTATTCACTGGTCCAGATGGCACATAATTTAAGAATTTTCAACAGGCAGGTTAAGTTGGAAAAGGCTGCCATCTTCACTGCATCCTATGCACCCTGTTGTTGCCACTATGTAGCATTACACAAATACACTGCGAATTGCTGCAGTAAAACTAGTCATTGCACTATGAAATCAGGGAAAAGAGGTTAACAACCTGTTTCCTAATAATAATATTGAAACCACTACATAACCTGTATACCTGCATGGATTTCTGTACTATATAATATTATCTAAATAGTTGCAAATAGATTCCAAACTTTATGTTCTGTGTGTGTGTTCTGTGCTGTCAAGTTGGATGACTTATACGTAGCAACCATAATAGAGCTTTCAAGGTAAGTAAGATATTTAAGGAGTGTTTAACACTCCCAGTGAGTTTCCATGGCCAAGCGGGGATTCAAATCCTATTCTTCAGAGTCCTCATCTGCCACTCTTTCCACTACACCACACTGGTAGCCCACAACTTTATGTTAGCAAAACAATAAAAAAATGAGTGTCTGATTTTGCAAGGAGATTGCTATGTGATGTATATTTGCTGCATTTCAACTGCCATAAATTAGTGGTTTCCATACATAACAAAAAGTCATGTATGAACTGGAGACATTTAGGGTTAAAATTTCAGAAAATGTATTCAAGATCACAACTGGTCAGTAGTTGGATGTTGTCCATTGCTTTAAAAGGAGCAATTTTTTTCAATGGTGTAGTCTTCATGAAAACTGCAGTCTGTTCTTAGATGCATTTGGTACACAGCTGAAGAGTGAGCAACTCCGCAGAAGCTTTTTGAATATACAGTAACTCCCACCAACTCTATGTAGTATATTCAATGGCAGTTGATGACAACAGTTACAGTCCAAGAACATCTGAAGGGCTAAGTGTTCTCTATCCATTTTTCTTAGATGCATTAGCATTTTGGGTGGCGTGTCTTTTTGCAGCAATATCTAGCAGGAGAGGGTTGCACAAGGGAAAAAGGAGGGCTTTTCAAGAGGTAATACTTTACATTATGCCTTGCAGTAGGCATAAAACCTGCTGAACAGCACTAGGCCACGTGATGCTGGTATACAAAAAGCTTCCCTGAGACGTTTGCTGCTTTGTCATGGGTGAAGTAAGTTAGTTGTCTGAATGTGGACAAAGCTGGTGGTGTAAATAAATAATTAAGCTGTTGAGCAGCTAGCGCCTTGAGTCTCAAAATTAAAATTAAAAAAAAAAAGAATTGGGAGGAAGAAGGGAAAAAACCAAAATAGATACTAGTTCTGAGTTATACATTTCTTGTTAAGGATTCTTTCTAGAAGGAAAGGAGGAAGTATGGCACCAGGCTGATTTCAACCTTGTAGGGAGATTCGTCCTGGAGATGGAGCACTAGTGTTCCAATGGCCCTTAAGCCTCAGGATACTGGATATGGCCAGAGGGGGGAGAATTTCAATTCATCATTATCATAACATAATGGTGTATGTTTTTGCAAATAATCTATCCTCAATAACTGCTTTTCTTAACAAACCTCCACTTTTTTTCCTCCACAACTATTTCACAAATGAGTTTTCAATACAGTATATTTTAATGAGAAACCATTCATTTTTGTAGTTGAATGGAAAGGAACTAATCCCTTTACATCAAAATCATAATCCCTTGCTGAGCATTGGCAGATGTCAGTGGGGACCGCCTTTCTCGCCAAACAGGCAATTTATTTTTGCATCATGCACACACAATTTTCCCATATCAGGTATTCTGGAATGACTTTCTGAGGACAGTGGCAAAGCATTCTCATTTTAGTTAAGCTCCTCGTCTGCCTATTAGCTGTGATTCGTGATGTAAAAGTGCCTAAGTCTTAATGCTTTTTCCATCCAATATAACTTATTTCAGGAGTTTCAAGAGTCACTCTACAGAGTGGCCAAAATCCTGTTGCTTAGCATAGTAAGTTGCATTAGAATAGAACCACTGAATCAGTGGAGATTTGGCGAGGCACCTCTTTTGTTAGTTTCACTGATTCACTGATTCAAAAGCTTACTGTAGGGTAATAAGTTGTAATTAGAGTATGCCCATTTGAATCAATGGAGCTTACTAAGCAGTTGACTATTCCAATGCAACTTATTAAACTAAGCAACAGCATTTCACCTATTATGTAGTATACAGTATCTGGCATCTTAACTACTAGAGAAACCTTTCTGGCTAGATGGATATACTGTATATTTTGCAATAAAATAATATTTTAAAGTTCTGATAGTATAATCAGCCTAATTACATGCATTTTTACTCAGAAATAAATCCCACAAAGTTCAAAAGATTTACTTCCAAGCAACACCTCTGTTCAGAGATACTCTATGACAGTGGTGGGGAGGGACTACTGCATTCCTGCCTCAACCCTTCCAAGAGTAATATGGTATACAGTAGATGAACTTTTGATATGATCCAGAAGTTCTTTACATATTATTACAGTATATCTCCTTAAATGTGCATAGAACTGAAACCTTCAATTAACAGTGTAACTATAAAGTGCAGCATTCTATCACTGAGAGAACAGTATTAACGAGACATAAGCTATGGAAGAAAGTCTTCAGAGGAACGCTATTCCATTAATAGATGAGACTCTTTGGAAACCTCTGATAAGAAAAAGTCTCAAGGCACGGCAATGTCCCTGCAATTCATTGTATGTATAACCAGGCACACACATATATACACACCCCTACATACACACTGCTTGAACGGATCAGCTTTGCATACTATTGAATGATTTAAAGAAGCCCCTGTATTAAATCTGGGATTAAAGCAAAAACTGAAATGCCTGTCTTACAAAGGAAACAGAAGATGAAATAGCAAACACAGCATGCTTATATTTTAATTGCAGATATGAAAAAAAATTATCTAATGCTGCACTATGTTTTGTCAATAGGAGATGGTTTTTAAAATGTGCTAACAATTATCCACCAAAAAGTTCCGTATAGTTTCCAACAATATTTTAAATAAAAAATATTTACTCTATAGCAACACTAACCATATATCTTTTAAAAGAAACAAAACCCTGAATAATATTGGCAACAGATTTTCTCTAACAAAGTATATGGAAATCACCTTATTGATAATGAACAAATGGTGCCCTTTTAGGTGGCCTATAAAATTACACATTCCAAAATCATCACAGTCATTTTCTGCAGAGCAAACAGCTTCTGAACCTTCCTCTCCCAATAATCTATTATTTGCTTAAGAGGAAAAGTGATGCCTCCTCATAGTAACACAATCATGACGGCAGCACATGATTGAACCATTACAGTTAATTCCCTGTCAGTTTCACCTTAATAAACTCCTATACTTAGGAATTTATAGCTGCTAGAAACATAAACAAGCATATACACAGCCAAAGTTAATAGACAGATGTCCAATCGGATAATAGAGCTAACCTTGACATTTAAAAACAAACTATTTTTCTCAATATGTAGTGACTCCATTACATGGTTTTATATAACACTGAAAGATCCTGTGATTCATACTGAAAATCTCTTGCTCTGGATTTTTAGATTTCTCTACTATTCTGAAGCATCAATTATTAAACTCTATGCATAACAAGACATAACTAAATCCCTTTGCAAGAGTGGAATGCAAAGATATGCAGGTGTACTAGATTTAGGATGGCCACAGGAACAGAGAGAAAAATAAATCATGAAACACCATGCTTCTTATACAACTTTATCAACAGCCCTGCTAATGACACATAAAACTGAGGACAATTTGAACAGCTTATGGTATGACATGCCATGTGTGTGCATGCGGGGGTGTATAGGTAGGAACATAGGAGATTGCTATAAAAGGGGTTAAATGACAGATGCATCTGGTTCAGCACTTCAATAAAAAGATGGTCTTCCATGAATTCCATATCCATACCATACCAAGAGCATCAATTACAGAGAAGATGGGGCAACAGCATGTCTACCTCACATGAATTACTTCATTTCTACAGGCAGAGTAGAAATAGATAGAAACAAACTCTTAAGGCACACAAGCCCCTTCCCTAGTAGTTTGTTCAAAACATCTTACAAGTTTAAGAAAAATATTTGTCTTTTGTATGAAAAAGACAGACAGTTGACACATAAGGGAAACACAGGGTTCATTTTCTTCCTGTCTGAAACCCACATCCAGTGTGACATTCTAAGCAAGGTTAACAGCAACTCCAGAATGACAAAAAGAAAACGAAACCTTCTTTTTTAACAATACTGCCCGAATGTTGCTTCTATTGGGAGGCACCATAAATACATATTGCTAAAAGTTCACAGTAACATTTCTACTGCTTCGGTTATATTTTTGAAGCATTAATTACACTTTCTTTTCATTTGCAGTGCGTCCTAGAAACTGCACAAGAATGATCCCTCATAACATGACATGGATCAAGTATCCAAGCCTGAGTGAAGATTCATCTATCAGTGTGGAAGACATTATATTCTCACAACATGTTATATCAAGGCTTATGCATGTCTATATTGCACTGTTTGTGCCAACTGGCTTATTAACTGGGATCATTATCTTGAGCATCTTCATCAAGAACTACATGCAGCATGCTTTAAATAAACTGGACATATTGCTTTTTGCTCATACCATCAGCAACATCTTAATGATTCTTTTATCACTTACCATCACTGTAAGACCTGCCTATCTCAGAGTATCCTATTTTAAGTGTGCAATTCTGTCTTTTTTTTCTAACTTGAGTTACTTCAGTTCACAGTACTTTCTCATATTAATGGTGCTCAGCTTTCTTCTCAACAGGCACCCACCCCAGAATGCTTTAATAACTAAGGCAGATAAAAATCCTACAGTATGTGCTGTATTTGCACTGATATGTGCTTTTTGTACTGCACTGATAGTGGTGGCACTGCTGGGCATAGAGAATTACCACGAAGAAACAGACTGTCAGTTAGATCCTTTATTTGCATGGCCAGAATATGAAATTATTAAATTTGCATTTGGTTTCAGCATTCCATCTTTGGCAAAGATTCTCTGTTTTATTCTATCACTTGTTAAAAGAACCCAGACAAAAACCCGTTCCTCAAGGCAAAATATTCACCCTTATTTGACTGTTTTTGTGATTGGAACCACCATGTTTATATGCCGTCTATTTTATAACATTATGATCCTTTTCAGAACCAGCCTGAAGATACAGAGAAGCATAGGGACACCTCAGAATGAACTAACTATGAATATTGCTGAAGTTCTACTATTCAGTGAAAGTTGTGTTGGCTTTGTAGTCATACTTTGCCTCCACAAACCATGCAGGAGTGGCTTCCTGAATACTGTAACTAATCTTACGAAGATTTGCAGGAGACAAAGTGACAACAGACCTCTTGAAATACGTGGAAATCATAGAGGAGTCTCATTTGTACCATCTGAAAATGGGTCACACTGACTATTGCTGCCCAAAATACGAGCATAAAAAAACAGCAGTTACATATCTGATATCATAAAGAACCTGAAGAAATACAAGGATTCCAAACCTTCTTTATTCTTACATTTTGTTCACAATTTGTCCAATTTTTCTATTCTTTTAATTGTATTTATTGTATTGTGTCCTCACTGCACTTTATGATTTTTTATTTTCGCCCCTATATATTGATGTTGTTATTTGCTATTTTGTTACTTTGTTGTTTTATGTTATTTGTTGTAAACTGCCCAGAGTGGCCTTGGCTGCCAGATGGGCAGTATATAAATCAAATAAATAAATAAATACACGGAAAAACAAACATCCTTAAGCATGCATGGACAAGCTAAAATCATAAGAACTGTAATCTTCAGCTGTTATCATTACATATTGATCTTCTGCTTCTCTGAACTAAGAAAAATGGACAACAGTATGAAAAAGTTGATGGGAAGTTATCTATGTAAATAATGTTTTCCTCTACTTTATTCTCATTTAGCAGATTATTTTATAATGGCTTGTGAAACAACATTAACTCAAATATAAGCCACCATATTCCCTCAAATATTTTGAAACCAGACATATTCTTAAAGGGATACGAATTCGAAAAGAGTCCATTTTCTGTGCATCTAATCACAGCCAGAGTCAACTCACATGGAATTATTTAGAGCTAAGAATTACAACTTTTAACTCCCTCCCCTACTAGGGACGTGGTGGCGCTGTGGGCTAAACCGCAGAAGCCTGTGCTGCAGGGTCAGAAGACCAGTAGTCGTAAGATCGAATCCACGCGACGGAGTGAGCTCCCATCGCTTGTCCCAGCTCCCGCCAATCTAGCGGTTTGAAAGCATGCAAATGCGAGTAGATAAATAGGGACCACCTCGGTGGGAAAGTAACAGTGTTCCGTTTCTAAGTCACACTGGCCACGTGACCACGGAAGATTGTCTTCGGACAAAACGCTGGCTCTATGGCTTGGAAACGGGGATGAGCACCGCCCCCTAGAGGCGAACACGACTGGACAACAATTGTCAAGGGGAACCTTTACCTTTACCTACTAGAAATCATGTTTCCAGAAAGCTTTCTAAGGCACAGAAACTAGACAATGTTATATGCCACAGAAGAGCTTGCAGTCTTGTTGGATTAGATGTCATGAAAGGCAGCAAGCACACTAAAATGAGCTGAAACTAAAACCACTGGTTGCAAAAGAACATTGCTGTGTCTATATATTTAGACAGCCTAACTGCACCTACAAAATTGCTGGGTCACTGGCGGCAGGAAAATGCAAGCATGTTGCTTCTACAATGGAAAGCAATTGTTCTGGGCTTGAGACAAATTAATTGTTTGGAATTAGGGTATAAATACATTTCGCAAACTCTGGCTGAACAAACATATTGATGGTGGAGAGAAAATTGAAACTGTGCCAGTCATCAGGGAAAGGTGGCCTGAACAGTAGCTTCTTTACTAAGCTGTGCACTTTGAGAGTTTCATAACAGAAGGCTGAGCTAAACAGCAGAGTCAGGAAAAAAACATCTTCTATTGTTTTTATTCCCTGCATGGATGGGAAGATATAGCATACCTGTTATGTTATAAGGTTATATTATATCCTAAGCAATAGTGGGAAGTGAGAGCTGGACCATAAAGAAGGCTGACTGCCGAAGAATTCATTTTGAATTGTTGGTGCTGGAGGAGACTCTTGAGAGTCCCCTGGACTGCAAGGAGAACAAACCTATCCGTTCTGAAGGAAATCAACCCTGAGTGCTCACTGGAAGGACAGATCCTGAAGCTGAGGCTCCAATACTTTGGCCGTCTCATGAGAAGAGAAGACTCCCTGGAAAAGACCCTGATGTTGGGAAATTGTGAAGGCAAGAGGAGAAGGGGACGACAGAGGACGAGACGGTTGGACAGGGTCATCGAAGCGACCAACATGACTTTCACCCAACACCGGGAGGCAGTGGAAGACAGGAGGGCCTGGCGTGCTCTGTTCCATGAAGTCACAAAGAGTCAGACACAACTTAACAACTAAACAACTACAACAAGCAATAAATATTAGAACTAAAAATTTACTCCATCTACAAGGGGGCCAAAAAGTAGCCATTTTTTGACATTTCAAAGACACTTTTCATCCATACCTATTTTCTCTCCACCTCAACTTATTCTATAATGAAAGACAGAACTCAAATGGATAGGAGAGGTCTGGAATCATGCTCTGACATACAGACCTTCCCCCACAATGATACCACTCAGTAACTATCAAGCTTCCTGATTCATATATCTGCCCCTTCATTAGCTCATCTCACCTTGTATTCTATTTCTTGGTCATGGTAAAGAGCGAAAGAATGCTAGGACAAACTAAGCAGGAAGGAAAAAAACAATGTTTATGGATCAAGCATAACAAAAACTAAATAAAATAATTAAATAACTAAAACTGTTCCTAAGCTATTTAAATGTGAATCAGACAAGTCTTCTTCCTTACTGTATTTTGATTTTATTTTTAAGCTTCCAGAAATATCACAGCAGTCTAAGTGGTTTCTCAGTTATTACAAATTTACTTTCTATTAAGCACAAACAGGATGTTAGAAGCTTTTTAGCATTTTGATACTTATTCCGATCATGGGGGAAAAACTTCCCTCTTCTATTCCGATACACTAACATTCTTTGTTTTTTAAAACAGCAATTAAGGAAATACTGTAACAGCAACCCACAATCTAAGTGGAAAATAACATCACTCATATCTGAATGAAGATCAGTGAGAATCACTGAGGATACTGTAACACACTGAACCTGCATTAGCTCTTTAATTGGAGTCTGTGGATCTCTGATGAGCTTTTAATATATATGTCTGAGTCCAGTCTCTGTAGTGTGTCTGTGTGTGTACATGCGCAGGCATGTGTGTGTACAAAAACAACCCTCTACACTGTGGCTTACATTTCAGCAGGCATGAAGAAGAGCAATCAACGACTGGCAAAATCAAGTATCCTACTGTATTCTGTACCTCTCCCTTGCTGATAAAACACATTACTGTACATTACTTCATATAAGATTTAAAAACTAAAACTATAATACCTACCTCATTGCTCAATGAGATTAAACTTAAACAACTCTCTTAGAAAACATTTTAAATCCATTAATATAACATCACATGTAGGTGGCAGGTGCCATTCAAAGGAGACTTTTGCCCTGGCATCTCACATTGAGTATAACTGGTCTGCTAAAGGTAGGCAGTTATTATGATAATGCATTTCTACAATTTAAAAACAAAGCCTACTTTTTATTCAAAATGGCTTATTCTTTTTTTTATATTTAATTTATATCCTGCCTATCTAGTCGTGGTGGACTACTCTAGTAGTCAAATGTACATCGATTTAATCCACCAAACAGCTAATGACTAATCAACTAAGATTTCTTTTAACCAAGTGATTAATCTGCCATTACAATGTAAGAGTTATGTGGGATGAAAATCAAAAGGTCATCTGGTTTGCCATCCTGCTTTCAAAAATGATATTTCGATAACTCAAGGCCTTATGACCCCCTCATAGCAGAGGCTTTTGGTTGGGCAAATTTATTCCTCAAACCCTTTGAACTGTCCACCCACACTTTAGGCACTGTATTTCAATTGGTAGGTCACAAACCATTATTAACAAATAACCCAAGCCTAAATGGATCTCAAGAGCAATGATACCACCATCAAAAAAAAAAAAAAGAAAAAAAAAGAAAAAAAAAGACATCCCCCCACAATAAAGAAAAATAACTGGAAACAAGGCAAATTATAACCTGAAGAAAATGTGCTTACTTTAGGTAATCCAGAAACTGGCTTAGAGACAACAGCCTTTCCATGTTTTTGTTTCCTTGATAACATAGTGCCTCAAAATATGGAAGTTTCATATAACCATCCTGCCCACTGCAAAATGGGAAAAAGATTGTCCATAGAACTCAATAAATGAAGGTCCAGGGGAAAGAAAACTACAATTAAAAATCTGATATGAACATAAATGACCAACACTTAATTGCACTGGGAAGCAAGCTGTATGTTGACTGCACCTGCTGCTCTCCATGGAGGTAATACTTCCTTCCCACTCCAGCATCTCTCATATTTCATGGAGGCAAATATCTATTTCCTGTATTCACAGCAGGTATATACAGCCAGACCTGGCTTCCTGGGTTGCATAGCTGCTGAGCTGTCTAAAAGCGCAAGTGCTAAAACATGAATATTGAGAAATAAGCAGCAATGACATCAAATTCTCTGGATGATCTTGGACCAGTCACATCTTTCTCTGCCTAACCTATTTCACAGGCTTGTTGTGAGAATAAAGTCAGGACAAAGAGAACCATGTATGTTACCAAGAACTCACTGGATAAAAAGCCAGAAAGAATTATAGCGAAATAATAAACAGCAGTATGACCCCTAAAGATTGTCTTAAGTCCTTTACAAAACAAATGTACACAGAAAAATAAGTTACATCATTTACATTATACAAGAAAGGATGGAGCAAGGTGCTACAGAGCACAATCACTTTCCTAAGTTAAAAAAATACATGTGTAGATGAATGCAGAAAGAGCTATACTTGAAAAGGCCACATGCTAGTAACTATAAACAAGTAACCAGATTTCAAGAAAAAGAAAACCATGTGAAATAAATAAGTACCGCCCAGAGACCTTTGGGGTAGTGTGGACGGCATATAAGTTAAATAAATAAACAAACTAATATAAATTATTTAGATATATGTACATAATTTCATTTGTTTCATATGTTATGCTTGTGATAGTCATGGGGGGAATAAACCCTGCGAGCCATGTAACACAGCTCCCTCTCACTGTCTCTCTCACATGACTGCAGCCAAAACTCTCTCTTTGAGCATGTGGTCTCTTGTTTTGTCCCTTGCATCAAGAAAGCAGGATTCAGCATAGCTGTTCCAGCCCTCATTTCCCACAGTTAGTGGAGCAATTCTGGCAGCCGCCAGGTGGTGTTTGTGCAGTTGTCAAACAGCTTCCTCTGAAGGCAGATGAAGACCAATCCTACACCTGCTGCATCAGGATTTGGAAGCACTACCGGCACCCTGAATGTACGATTCTATTAATTCTTTTTTAAAGAAATCATCTAGATGGTGAGTGTTACAACGCAGTATGTGGAACTGGGGATAGATCCCTTTAGACTAGAGCTTGCTGAACCATGTACAGTTAAGAGAGGGAAACTGGACTCATAAAAGAGGGTAGGACATTTTTATTGCAGTTATTAATGCATGTAATTAAACATCATTCTTAGTTTTATTTTCAAGAGCTTTAATATGTCTCTTTTTACTACATTTGTCTATATTCTGTTATATGCTGAAGATATTTTTTTTTAAATTGAGTCTGTACAATGGTGATCCAAGTTGATTTTCTGTTTGAAATGGAATTGCAATAGATGGGTTAATTGAAAGATGTAGATATTTTAGAACTGTTGAAATGTGTTGGAAAATGAGTTTTAAATATCACACTGATTAAGGAAAAAAGCCACAAGAAATAAGAGTTAAAATTCAACACAGATCTTTAAGCTGAACACGTGGAGAAACTGACAGCATCAACAAAGCTGTTTTATTGTAGATCTAAATTTGTTGCTTAAAAAACAGTTCTTTAAACAAGGTTATTAAAAATATTTTTTTCAATTCCAATTGAATTGTACCATTAGTATAGTGATACAATCCAGTAACATCTGAACAGACTATTTTTCATTATGTTATACAATTATGTATTTGAATATAAATCATCCTACCACTGTTTGGAAGAAAACCAGGTCTGGACCAGTTAATGCCCATGGATGCATATGATCTTAATATAAAATAAACTCTAAATATTAAAATAATGAGCATTCCTGAGTTATCCGAGTTTCTTACAGACCTCAGCACATAATCAGCATGCTTTTATAATAGAACTATTTGAAGTATACCATTATTTTCCTCAATTTCTCAGGGAATTATTAAAAATAATGTTGCCTTTCAGGGATGAGAATTATCTCCCAAAAAGGGCAAATAAAAACACAGTTGATTAGCTTTCAGTCTTTCAACTTTTAAGAAGTTTGATTGGGAAATCAAACTTCTACAACATTCATTATATTTTGATAATTATATTTTGGAAGAATGCCTTATCTAAAACTGTGAAAGTATAAGATTCATGGTAGTTCAGCCATAACACAATCTTTATTTTAGACAAGTTTCTTTTTAGGAATAAATATGTAAAATTGCTTTACTTACAAATTAATAAAAACAGACTTTCCGATCAGGTTAAATGTTGTTTTATCTTCAAGATTCTGTCTCTCAAGCAGTGCAAAAGAGAGTCAGTCATTCCTTTGTGGCTTGTTCCCAGCACCTGGTACTCAAAAGATACACTGCCTCAGAATATGGAAGGCCATATCAAATTAGTATAGCTAACAGTCACTGACAGATTTACCCTTTCTGAATTTGGATGTTTCTTTTTTATAACTATCTAAACTGGTGACCATACCAAAATTTATGCTACTAAGTTCTGTAACAAAATTAAATACATATTATGAAGAAATAATTCCTAATTTTTGTCCTGCAGTCACTATCAGTTAGTGTCACTGGATTGGCATTTTTCATGTTGTAAAACATCACATACACTCTTCCTTGTTCATCCAGCTGTTGTACTGAAATAAGTTTTCTTTTACACATATGTCGTAAAGATCCAGTATTGTTTATATGGTCTCCCCATACCAGCTCCACAAAATTTTTTTCAGGGGGGGAGCAAGCAGGTCTGCATACAAAATTGTATTATTATCCTTTATTAGCAAAAAGGATTAATTTGGCAGATGCAAATCATCAAGTCAATTAAAAATGAGGTTAGAACTTTTTAAGCTATATTTAATTTAGATATGCAAGTGGCTCCACTTATGTACTTACATTATTTTAAAACACAACTACATTAACTGTTCACAGTCTTTTCCTGAAAACATTATCATACGAGTCAAGATATTAATATTTTTATGCCTTAAAATGTTGTAACTGAAAGCAATTATAAATATGCACATGTTTTATTTTGAGAGGCTATTAAAGAACCTCTTTGAGAAGAATGAGGTAAAAATCAGAAGGTTACTTCTTGTCTGACATGTATTCATTTTACAGCCAAAATATACTTGAGAGCTCTATAATTATTTATGGAAAACAAAGAAAATGATACTGCGGAAAGTTGATCTCTCATTTGTCCATGAACTAGATTTATTTCTGAGTTTTATTATTTTCTCATAAGAGTAATGCCAAGATAATGTTTTCTACATTACACTGAATAGATCCCACAGAATCACCACTGTTTACAAAATGTTTTACAATTAACATGTAGGTTCATGTTGTGGTGCATCTAAACAAATGAACAAAAAAAAATAACTATAAATAAACAGATGCTAAGACCTCTCATATTAGCAAAAGCTGGACACTTTTCAATCTCACAGTCAGATGAGTAACATTTTTTCTTTCTTTCATTAACTGCAGGTCCAGCAACATTCACTAATCTTGCTAATCTGAAGTAAACAGAGCTGTTATGATTCCTCATCTTTCAAGCTGCAAGCAAGTCTGCAGAAGAATAAAAATGTATATGACTGAAGCCATCATTACCATTAAAATGTTTGCGTTTCATAGAACACATGAATTCTCTGTTGCTTGTCATACTGAAGAGTAGCACATGTCCCTTGACGTACCATAGAAATTTGGCAAGTTCTGATCTTAACTGATTCTGCCTTCCCAGATTATAAACATGACTTCTGCAGATCTTTCTGGATCCACCTACAATTTCAGCACTTTGGCACTCAAGTCAGAAGTGACCTACCTAATGGAGAATCATACCATGGAAATTTACACAACAGCCTCCTCTCCAGTACTCTGTAATAGCACGTATTTTGAACTAAATGGATCACATCTGTGTAATGAAAGCCTTATAGATAAATCAGAGCACCAACAATATATTATAGGTCTCTTCTTATCTTGCCTTTATACAATATTCCTTTTTCCTATTGGTTTTGTAGGTAACATCCTAATTTTAGTGGTGAATATCAGTTTTCGTGAGAAGATGACTATTCCAGATCTATATTTTATAAACCTTGCTGTAGCAGATCTTATTCTGGTTGCTGACTCCCTCATTGAAGTTTTTAACCTGGATGAAAAGTATTATGATATCACGATAATTTGTACATTCATGTCCTTATTCCTTCAAATCAACATGTATAGCAGCATATTTTTTCTAACGTGGATGAGTTTTGACAGATACATAGCACTGGCAAAAGTAATGAGATCCAACTTATTTCGCACCATGGAACATGCCAGATTAAGCTGTGGCCTAATATGGTTGGCATCCATCTCTGCAACACTAGTGCCTTTCACAGCGGTACATTTGCAACACACTGGAGAAATTTACTTTTGCTTTGCAGATGTAAAAGAAATCCAGTGGCTAGAAATAACCTTGGGGTTTGTTATACCTTTTGCTATCATAGGCCTCTGCTACTCATTAATTGTTAGAGTCCTGATAAAAGCCCACAAGCACAGGAGCTTGCGCATACGCCGACAGAAAGCTCTTCGCATGATTGTTGTTGTTGTGCTCGTCTTCTTCATTTGCTGGCTTCCTGAAAATGTCTTCATAAGTGTACAACTCCTTCAACAGAGAGACCAAGGTTCAGCAAGGAGCCAGTCTTTCAGGCATAACAACCCCTTAACTGGACACATTGTGAACCTTGCAGCCTTCTCAAACAGCTGTTTGAATCCCCTTATCTACAGTTTCCTAGGTGAAACTTTCAGAGACAAACTAAAACTGTATATCGAACAGAAAACCAAAGTGTCTGTTTTACACCGCTTTTGTCACGCTACCCTGAAATCAGTCATTACTGACAGCACCGAGCAATCAGAAGTTTAATTTAGCCTGCATCGGAGGTGCCTTAATGGAAACCTGATCACAACATTTATTGTGAACAGAAAAAAATGTAAATTTTGTTCTCTGCATAAAAATTTGTATCCTATTCTTACAACAATATGCAAATTATTCAGATGTGCACTAATTATGGGTTGAAACTAATAAAAGGTCCATGGAAGGTTGGCTGAATTTGTATACTCCAAAAGGCAGCAGAAAACAATGGAAGGAAGAACCTAACTATAATGCAATTATGAAACATAACTACTTTTCTGGTATCTCACAGATGCTTTAAACAAAGTAATGCAACTACCATTAGCCTGGAGAAATTCAATGTAACATATTAATGTAGAGAAGTCATTGATTTTCCATCCAAGTACATCAGCATGCAAACTTGGTTCAGAAAAGAGCTGGAGAGTTTGATGAACAGTACTATATATAGAAGGAGACATTCTGCTACATATACTGAATTAAGAACAATAGAAAATCAATCTACATATACCAGACTTCTTTTTCTGCAGCTTTTAAAAAACTATAAATAGCAAACCATCAGGTATTTATTATTTCCAGATCTTGTAACTTCCCTGTGAGCACATATCAGTTTGAAAGTGAAGTGGCACCAGCCCCCAAATAAAGCTGTGGTTTCTATATGTTCAAGAGACTTCCCTAGGTGTAAAGAAGTACTGTACATGGACACAATTGAAGTCACATAAGCAAACCTTTCTCCTTATCTCTTCCCCTTGAAAACACCCCTCTCATCTAAAGCATATGTCAACGCTGAAGTATATTTTGAAGGTGTAAAAAGGGACATGGCGTGAAATCCTGCCTTTCTATGGACCAAAGCTATTCTGTCAGCAAAATAACTTAATTTCATTTTACCCTATAAATTAATGAGTAAAAATAAAATAACAAATACCTCAAACATGCCCACAAAGACCTGTGAGTTTCCAGAAATCATGGAACGTAGATGGCAATTAAGTCCAGTGGGGTAAGAGATTCATTATTTAGAAACAAAGATTTCAAGTTCACATTTAGAATAAATTCCTGCTGTTTATTTGAGAATGAAGGAAGGATGCTCTTGCTGCCTTATCTTACCTGCATCAATTACCAACTGATGCATCAATCAGTATCAATTACTGTTGCCTAATTATAGCTACATTCTACCTTATCAGAGAGAAGACTCTCACTAAGGATCCAGAAGATTAGCAGACTATGAAAAACCATCATTTTTTTCCTGTATATATGAAATAAATAAATAAAATAAATATATTTGCGAGCAAGTGAGATAAGGAATGCTAGGGGGCTCAGTGGGGAAAATGTGCACCATGATACAGAGGTAAGGAGGTAGTGAGAGCTGAACTGCTCAAACTCTCTTCTGTTACTACCTATTTCTAAAAATGACATAATATCATAATTTCAACATTTGCTACCATGATAATGAACAATTTACTGGATTTGAATCACTCTTTTCAACCACTTAACTTTTTAAAAAAGTGATGAAGGAAAAAGTGAAGGAAAGTGAAGGAAAAAGTAGCCCTTGGCTAATCCTTCCGGTAAAAACATAAACAAAACAACAAAACCCCACAAAAAAACACTGTCTCCTCTGGGCTCAGAACCCTTGACTTTAACCTCTTACTTATCACTAACACGCTACAAGGACCTGAGAGCTTTTAAAGAGCAGATTAGGAAAATACTTTGCAGGAGGCAGAAAGCATCATTTTTCAGGCAATTAGTGACTCAAAGCAGTAAAGCCAGGGAACTACCTGCTGATCCTACTCTTGACCTAAGGCAAAGTATAGCTACAAATTTCATGTGAGTTTCAGAGCTCAAAATATGATCTTTCTGTCATAACTCTTCAAGGGCGAGTTCTCTGTGACAGCTTACAGGTGCTGAAGAACTGTGTTCTCTGGTATCCTATCTACTGACACTGTGAAAGATATAGCTGGTCAGCAGAACGGTAGGAGGACTCAAAACATGTCTAGGTCCCTATAGCAAGCACGAGTTTGAAGGTCTGTTACATTGATCCAAGTAGGCATGCATTCTTTCTCTAAAAGGGGGGATCATGAACTGTATAATTTCTTATAGATTTCAGTTAAATGAAATGAGATCAACTGATGTTACAACAGTATTACAGCTGCTAAGCAGATGCAAATCAAATGGGTAATGTAAGATCAGGATACACAGTTAATAAATAACCAAGTTTGAAATGTTTATTGAGATACTTCTTGTCACAGATAAGTCTTCAACCTATGACTGCAATAAACTCTAGAAGATCACTGGGACTCTGTTTATAATTCCATAGATGTCTTGTGGCTAATGACAAATATTTTATCATGTAAATTTTTTTGTGAATAGGAGGAAGAATTAATCCAAAGTTCAAAATACATGTGCAAAATAGATACAGGCACACATCAAAATCCCCAACTAATCTATTAAGTATGCATTTTAAATATTTTATGTTCATATAGCACTTCCAAGTATTCAAAGCATCTGATACATGTCATACAATTACCAATGTATACAGTGTATTGCTATGTGATGCTCTGTCAAAGTGCATCCAACATACAGCAACTCTAATTGGGTTTTCAAGGTATGTGAGATATTTAAGGATTGGTTTTACCAGTACCACACCTCATTCCCAGTAAGTTCCCATGGCTGAAGTGTTATGTGAACTCAGGTCTCCTAAATCACTGGTTCTTAACCTTGGGTTACTCAGGAGTTTTGGACTGCAACTCCCAGAAGCCTTCACCACCATCTGTGCTGGCTGGGATTTCTGGGAGTTGCAGTTCAAAAACATCCGAGTAACAAAGGTTAAGAACCACTGTCCTAAATCATAATCTATCACTCTATCCTCTAACCCACACTGGCTCTTTTAATTCTATTATGGCTGAAACCCAATATTAAATCACACCTAGAATCAGCTAGAATTTAATGAGTCAACTCCTCCTTAATTTCCAGTGCTTCAATAGGCCTACTCTAGTTGTAACTTGCTATTAGATTTTAGCCATTATGATGATGATAACAATGATGATGATTATACAATGTGTTATCACTCACATATCAGCTGATATCTTGAGATACAGTAGATGAGCGGCTAGGAATACAGTAAATTACTACAGTATTTTCTCAAGCTCAACATCCTACCTGTAATATGGGTAACAATACTGCCATAACTTGCAAGGCAAGTGAGATTTTAACTTAAGTACAAAGTATCTCACCACTCTAGTGTTATGTAAGAGATACATATAGTTGCTGCCCCCACAGTTGAGTCTGGACTTAGCTAATTGTACTTAATTCTCACATAAATTAAATGGAACAAGTCATGGGTAACATTTTGCATTAATTTCAATGGGATCTTAATCTGGATCAAGTTTAAAGCAAACTCTGCATTTTTGTGGGAAAGTCAGCAGCATTTGTAGTTCCTGGAAAATGAGATGTCTTTCGCTGGCTTTGTGTGGCATATTTCCAGCACTGCAAGGAGTAAATGTTAAAGCAACAGCATGCTCTCTTCTCCCACCCACAGTTCTCTGAGAGAGCAGAGCTGTTTGTGGAACACTTAGAGGAGTGGTTTGAGCACAGGACGTTGACGAGTAAAAGATAACAAATATATAATATAGTGAACTTACAATGAAATCAAGATCTGTTCCAAAAGCTTTAGAAGCTCTTTCCCTTTCTCTTTTCCCCTAACCCTCACACAGAGGGATATTGTAGCTGACAAAAGGACATTACAAGACTATGAAAGGAACAAGACTCCATCTGCAGTTGTAAAGGGAAGTCATCCATGAGAAAATTTCTATGTGAAAATATGTCTGAAGTTGTAAAGTTCCTGGTATGTGGGATGTTATTCAAAGCCAACCATTTGGCAGCCAAACACCAAAGCAAGTATGAACTGACATTTGATGTCACTTGAAAGCAATGACTGCAAAAGCAGAATGTGTGTCAAGACAGCTGCTTCACAAAGCTGCTAGTTTGGTAATAATGATGTATACAGCCACGGGTATGTACAGTTCTGACTCCAAAGCAACAACAATCTGAGGAGTCACTAGACAGCCAGCAATAGCTGCTGCTGACAATGTAATAGTAGCTGGGGTGACTGCTTCATATGTTAAAAGGCTGGAATTGAATCAGTGCAACCTGCAAGAAAGGGCGCTATACTTAGTTAAGTGAGAAGAACAATCTTCTGTCAACAAGACAGTCACAGCTGCACAATAATTGTACCATTTAGGTGGAAGTGTTTTCCAAAGGGTTGATCAAACTGGATAAAGCAGAACCAGAGGCTAAGAATAAATATGAACCAGCTACCCTGGCCGGCAGAAGAACAAAGCTGTCAGCTCTGCTTTGTTCTGAGCAATTGAGACTGCCCAGTTTCATCTTATTATCTCATGGAGGCTGACTGAGTCATTATAACAAGCAGTTCAGATGAGCTTTGTAGTAATATTAACAGCTGATAATAGGAATTGAAACTTTAGGATGCTAACATAACTGAATTCCAGAGGACAGTTTAATGCAATTTTATACTAGTTTTGTAAAAAGTCCAAATTATTTAACAATTTTTCATTATTATTTGGGCTCTTTTCATTCAAACAAAAAAGTTATCATATATTCATTACATTTTTATCCCACCTTTCTCCATCCTATAGTTGGCCAAAAACTGCAGGTAAACTGCAGTGTCTTTTATTAAAATTCTTACTAGTGACTTCTTTGAACAAGCTAGGACAGTAGTTTGCATATTCTGCAATCAATATCAATTTACAAATCAAATGCCATCACTTTAGTTCCACATTTAAAAACAGTATTTTTTTTTGTTAGTGCCCTATTCAACTCCACAGCCCTAAGCCCTCAACAGAGAGGACAGGGAAGTCTCTGTCCTAAAATGGGATCTCAGGATTGGACTCTCAAAATTCTAACTCTTGAGACCCTCGGAACACAAGGCCCTGAGCGATCCGTGCTACAGAGGGTAGAGAGTCAATTCTTCTTCTGTGAAAGTTATTTCCTACTGTCAGGAAAAGCCAGAGGTTTTTGTTCTGAGACTAACTTTGGGCGTGCCTATCTAAATTAATTGCTACTTCCTCCTCTTTTGTCTTTCCAGGCCTTTGGCTGTAATGGAGTCCAGTAGGCTTCTTTGCTCCCATAACTCTGATTTCGAAAGGATCTTTAACTTCTACAAGCTATTAAGATAAGAATGCTTTATATTTTAACCCCTAATATAGAAGACAAAACTCTAACAGAAGTAATTGTTCTTTGAGTTTTATATTAATCTGTAGGTCCACTTTCTTCTTTTAAAATAAATCTTTTTTTTACTGATAAGTGTTTTGTCCTTGAGTATTCAAGAGATTTCATCTACTTTCCTGTAACACACCATGCTTAAATCATAAGATATAAACTGAAAAATTAGCTTTATGACATGTTTAAGCCAAACGAGATACACAGAACTTGATCAAAAAGAGACAGAATCTTGAAACGCCTGCCACATAGTTAGTTCTTCAGACATCCAGAATATCATGCTGCTGTTATGGGCCATCATGTCACTTCCAACTTATAGTGACTCAATGAATGAGCAATCTCTAAAATGTCCTGTCCCAATAGTATCTACCAAACTTTCATCTAAGCCAGTATGTTTAGTTGGTGCAGGCTTATTAATAAGAACCCTCCTTCAGTGTCAGCATTTCACACTCATACACTACAACAATGGTTTAATTCAAAAACATAGCAGCATTACTTATTTTGTTATCCTCTTTCTAAGCTAACATCACAAAAGAAATGGAACTAATCTGTCATAATTATTTGCTGTGATGTCTCAATGCAGCAACATTAATTGGTATAATAGCAAGATTGCTAATTCATTAGTATACCACTACATCAACTATTTCCCCTCACAAGCATACAGCAAGCAGAACAATTCAGTACCCTTAAGAGTATTCTCTCCACTAGCATACAGATAATCACATATATATGACTTCTGAAAACATTTCAGGAAGCTGCCTTACAGCAACTCAGACAAACAGTCCATCTAACTCAGTATAGTCTACACTGCTAAACTGCAGTTTGTAAGCTAGACAAAGTGCTGCACTGATCATAATGTAGGACTGAGACTTGGGAGATGCAGGTTCTAGTTCCCACTGAGGTCTGAGACTCACAGAGTGGTGAGCCATCAATTTGACCTATTTCATAAGGTCACTCTTTGCATAAAATAGCAGTGGTGCTGTCTTGACCATCCTGGAGTACAAACATAATAAATAATTTGCAGTAATAAAAAATATGCATAGGATACTCTTGGAAGGTGCCCAATGTGTATAGACTTTCACTATAACACCAGGCTAGAGCATGATGTTTCTGGGGGCAAAAATTAATTTCTATAAATGCTTTAGATAAATATAAAGTACATGTACATAAAGCAGCAATCTTTGGCTTATTTCAATGGATTTATACTGTTTGTGATGTCTCATCAGTGAAAAAACACCAAGAACAGGAAGGTTATCCATGTTTGTTACATTTTCCCTTTGTACTTTGAACACAGTTTGAACTAAATCTAAAATACAGCACAAAATATATGTACATACATGCATACATACATGATGTTGCATCATGTTCTTTAATGTACAATGAAGAATTCTTAACCTTGTGAAACCCTGCTAAACAGTACACAAAATATTGTGTTTATACCAGAAACAGTTGGAGATACATGCTTTTTGCCTGGGAAAACCATTTTCAAAGTAGGAATTGTTTTCCCAGCTGTGAATATGTTTTCCTGGGAAATCTGTTCAACCCATTACACAAATATTCAAAGGAATGCAAAATTATTCGGTTTTATTATGCATATAAATATTTCAAGTATGTTTTTTTTTTACTTTTTGGAACTTGTAGTCATTAAAGAAGACTATGTTAAAAATAATGCAAAGAAACTGTGAAACAAGTTGTTTTCACTTTTCATATGAAACAAAATTAGACTTCCTACAATTAAATCATGCTCACGGGAATCTCATACTATCTTCATTGGGCTCCAGTGTCTTGAGGGAGCAGTATCTCCTTCTATGATGACCTATCTACCCATGTTTTGAAGCAGTGATATTATTAGGGTTTCCATGTGTCCCTAGAAACTTTCTGAGGTACAGCTCTTTCTTTCTTTGACAAAAATTGTGCCAATGGGGATTGCAAAAGCAGCCCACAGCCCAAGTGATTTTAAGATAACTAAGCCGCCTAGAGTGGTCGAAATGACTAGATAGGCGGGGTATAAATACAATAAATAAATAAATAAAAAATAAATAAATAAGGAAGCCATAGTACTTACTCTTACTTGTTTCTTTATCAAGTATTCTCCCCCCACCCAATTGTTTGCTGCAATGAGCATGTTTGCGTTGAAGCAGGAGAACACTATCACAAAGCAAGCAACCTGCTGGAATCTGTACCAATTGCAACAGGCATCAATACCTCTATGACATGAAGCAGGCAAATGGTTTTCGTAGGACAAATTACTTTTTGAGATGTTAAGAATGGGAGACAAGTGAAATTCTGTGAAAATTCTTGTGAAATTCTGCAGGAAAAAATCATACTGAAGATTAGCAATTATCTTTCACTACCCCAAAACTGTGCTGGTAAGACTGAATGGTTTCACAAATACAACCAAGTCCCAGAGACCCACCTCATGAAAAGTAGAGCCAAGGCTTGCAGGATAATCTAATACTATCAAACAATCTCTAGCAGGACAGGACTCTCTGATACATGAATAACGCCAAGTAATCAGTGCAGTACAAATGGCCAGCATTTTAAGAAACCTGTTATCTTCCTACTGCTCCAAATTCAGACCTATCACGCAGCACTTTCTTATTTGATAAATCAAAATCTACTGGGGAAAAAGAATGTTAGACCTTTGTCCAAGAAACTTTTAGAATTCTTAGACCAAAATAAAATAAAATAAAAATGCAATAACCCCTTTATAAAATTTTATTAGCCACTATGTCTTAAAGGTTTAGATACTCCTAATTAAGGGGGAATTAAAGAACCTCTTAATGAGGGTGAAAGAGGGGAGTGCAAAAAATGGTATGGAGCTCAACACCAAAAAAAAACTAAGATTATGACCACTGGTCCCATCACCTCCTGGCAAATAGAAGGGAAAGAGATTGAGGCAGTGACAGATTTTACCTTCTTGGGCTCCATGATCACTGCAGATGGTGACAGCAGCCACTAAATTAAAAGACGCCTGCTTCTTGGGAGGAAAACGATAACAAACCTAGACAGCATCTTAAAAAGCAGAGACATCACTTTGCTGACAACGGTCTGCATAGTCAAAGCTATGGTTTTTCCAGTAGCAATGTATGGAAGTGAGAGCTGGACTATAAAGAAGGCTGACCCCCGAAGAATTGATGATTTTGAATTGTGGTGCTGGAGGAGACGCTTGAGAGTCCCCTGGACTGCAAGGAGAAGCACCCTATCCATTCTGAAGGAAATCAACCCTGAGTGCTTACTGGAAGAACAGATCCTGAAACTGAGGCTCCAATCCTTTGGCCATCTCATGACAAGAGAAGACTACCTGGAAAAGCCCCTGATGTTGGGAAAGTGTGAAGGCAAGAGGAGAAGGGGACGACAGATGGTTGGACGGTGTCATCGAAGCGACCAATATTAATTTGACCCAACTCCAGGAGGCAGTGGAAGACAGGAGGGCCTGGCGTGCTTTGGTCAATGGGGTCACAAAAAGTCGGACACAACTTTAATGACTAAACAACAACAAATAGCATGTACATTAATATGTCATACTAGGCACTACAAAACAATGTTAATCTTAGTGCCTGATAACCAAGGGGGCTCTCTTAGCCAGATTTTGAAACTTGTTAGAATTGGTTAGTAAACACTGGTTCACGTCGTTCCAAAGAGGTCAGTTAATGCTGGCAAGCCAAAGATTGAAGTTGTGCTCAAGGAGAGGGAATCTACACCCCTCACCTTATCTCGAAACATTGTTAAGAGATCTTTTTCATTATATTTACAGCCACACTACACAGCTTTAAGATTATTCATACCTTAGTACGGTACTTAAAATTGCTTGTTGCTATTTAATGTAAAAGGAAGGAAATGAATAAACAAAAAGTCAATATAACAAGATTGTTCCAAAAGGTCAACATGTCTTAAAGGCAAACACACTAGTGTTGTGCTTAGTACGATTTTCACTGTAACACATTTTACAATAATGTTCAGTATGTCCCTATATTTGGCCTGTATGAACTACTTCAGCTTGTTTTAATAAAACTTACAACAAAATCAGTTAGACATTTCTTTTTACACTGTCATGGTTAGAAACATACATAAATCACAAATAAACACAGCTACTTAATGAATCAATGAAACATCTCCCTACATCAAAAATGAGCCCCACGATGAAGCATACAGAAAACAACTTCCCACCATTTAAATTAAACAACAGTGTAACTATTCAACAAAGTAACAACTTTCACTTCCTTAAAGAAAGTCGAAGGTTTCAAAACTGTATGTGTTGTCACTAAGCAGCACATGAGCATTTTGTAAACAATATGCCAAAAGCTCAAACAAGCTCTCTTTGCCTTTCTCTATTCAGCAAAGGCCATGGCCCAGTCCCCACAGGGTTGGGAAGTAGGGGGCATATGAAGAATTTCCTTTCATCTCAGCACGAAAGTTGGGAATGGTTCCTTAGGTCCTGTTAACGAAAGCCAGACTGGGGACTAATGATAGCACCTGAGCATTACTTCACAACTTTTATTTTTCTAAAATATCTAGATCTGCACTGTTCCTTTGTGCTATGAAAACACCTGCAAAGTAAGCACATTTATACTTGTTCACTCACCTCAATTTTTTGTTTTTTCACCTCAGGTTCATATACTTTCTTGCCCTTTTCTGACAGAAGACGCTTCATTTTTTTCTTTTCTACCTTATTCTTTCCTGACATGAGACTCTTCATTTTCTTCTTCTTCTTTTCCACCCTCGTATCAGTAGTTTTCATGTTATTTACCATGTTGTAATGAACTGAAAGATGCAGAAGGGTTTTTAAAATGTATGCTACATCATTTAACTGCACATAAGACAAAAATCCAAAATGTGTTCCCCTGAGTTACTTAACAAGTAAGCTTATAAACACTTGTGCATAAGAAATCCACCCTGAAGGATGACAACATTAAAATTTTCAGAGAATTTCTTCATGTTATCACATCTGCTATGGAAAATAGAGCATATGTTATAGAAACTATGTGTCCTGCCATGAGTTTCAGGTCATGCAGTTTGGTTCTAAACACTGCCTAGCATCAGGGCAGTTTGCTAGAATGTCACCAGCTCCAACTTAACAACAGGGGGTGGGGAGCCATATTTCAGGGAATCATGCCTGCTAACTCTTCAGCTCACTAAAGGTTCTACACAACACACTTTGAAAACTACTACTGTAAGCAAGTAAGTGTACTGTCTTAGACATCACTTTAACCATTCCCATGAATACTAGTAAGTGCATAATTAGCATATGTTTAAATAATGAATTCACCAAAGTACACCCTGAACTGTATCCTTATGTTTGCATAAGCAAACTAAATACACTGCCATGGCATGAACACTGCATATAATTACAGAAAGCCTTTAGAGGTTCCCACATAGCAAAGCAATCTATCAGCTGGCTAGGCCCATATCTGTAATGATCAGTTCTCAAACACATCCATGGTCTGTCTCCACAGTCCGGTTCTGCTCAGGCCACCTCTGCACTACACCACACTGGCTTACTTTCATACTGTAGATAAATTGTTGCATTTGAAAACTGGAATTAATTGTACTAATGCAAACTGAACAAGTGAGATTAGTCAATGGTCCCTATAATGTGGGACACAGTGTCATGTACTAAATGTGCCATGTGTCACATACATACATGCATGAATAGCTAGTGCCACATACTGTATTAGTATGCTGTGTCTTGTTCCACAAGCACAGATGGCAGAAAGTACCTTGCTGACAACACACTAAGCTGGATAATGTGGACAGATGTATATATATATTTGGACTTCGGACAAGAAATCTTATTTGTATGTGCACTCCAAAGAAAAAGAAGTATATTGCAAAAATTCACATAAAACATTGCCACTAACAGGCACACCAGTGCTAATAGCTATGTTAAATGAAAAATATCTAAATGCCTTAGAAGTTGAAGAAAACAAAAATAGTAACAACATGCCATCTGTTTGGCCTGTAATAGATACCATGAGAAGTCAGTTTTGTATACAGTGGGCTTCCAGTTTCACTGCAAAAACAAGTCAGTACTGTCAATAAACACTATAGGAATAAGTATCTCTCCAAGACAGGAGGAACAAATATACAGAGACCAGTAACAATGTTTCAGTGTTAATTCACTGAAAACTGACACATGAAGTCACTTGTATACCATTCCAGAAGAGAACCGCTTATTTATTTATTTATTTAACTTATATGCCGCCCACACTACCCGAAGGTCTCTGGGCGGCTTACAGCATTTAAAATACAATAAAAAGGCAAAATAAAAGGGCAAAATAATTAAAATGCATTGTGACCACTCATAAAAACAATGACTCTATAAATTACCATACGTGAACATTAAGAAAGCATCACAGTAAAGATCTTACCTACATTAATCTTTTGGATAAAAATATCTAATTGTCTTTGCATTTCGTAATTATTACACTCAGTTTTTACTGTGTTTCTTTTGTCTATACACATATTCATCTACCAAAAACACACATGGTGAAGCAGGTACAACCCTTTGACCTGTCGATAACTGTTGCATTTATTTTATTTATTATGTATTTATTTATTCAGTTTGTATTCTGCTCCCATTAGTATCACAGCACTACTCTGGGCAGCTTACAACATGTATAACAGAAAACAAAAATAAAAAAGAGACATTAAAATCAGCAACGATAACCCATTTCCAGTGTTTCTGCTGTAACACAATAACAATTGTCTCCAATTGACAAACATTCTATTTCCCTATGTGAAACACTAGATGGCATAACTTCCCAGTGAAGCAGATCTGAACATTTCTTCTGAAAATTTAATAGACTGAGAGATTTAGTGTAGTAGCAGCTTTTGTGGTTTCAAGTCTACTTTGTCAAACACCTTCAATGCTATCAACAGCTTCAGGTATAACATGGATATTAACATCTCCAATTGACAAACATTCTATTTCCCTATGTGAAACACTAGATGGCATAACTTCCCAGTGAAGCAGATCTGAACATTTCTTCTGAAAATTTAATAGACTGAGAGATTTAGTGTAGTAGCAGCTTTTGTGGTTTCAAGTCTACTTTGTCAAACACCTTCAATGCTATCAACAGCTTCAGGTATAACATGGATATTAACATGAAGCAGTTCAACAGCTTCAGGTATAACATGGATATTAGTACATGCATAAGAACTTGCATTGTCTATTATTATCAGACTAGAGAGACCTCAATGAAGATTTCTCTTTGACCATAATGTTTACTGCACAGGTGGGCAAAATGCAGCCCTCCAGATACTGTTGAACAGCATGCTTGACCATTGATTAAGCTGGAAAGGGTTGATGGAATTATAGTCCAATATCCTGAGGGCTGCACACTGATTTACTGGTTGACTTTTGCAACAAGTTCCATAGTATACATATGTTTGTTCCAGCAGAAGCAAAGTCTTACAGGAATTTATAAAATAATCACCTTATTATGCTGTTTTTTTATTATTATGCATAAATAAGGTCCAACATCAACTAATGAAATGCTACTCTCAGATGTCAGGTATATGTATCTTGAGGTTTTCTTGTTGCTCTGTACCACCACATCATTTCCAACTTATGGTGAACATAATATGGGTTTTGAGGTACAGTATATGAAATGATCATCCACATTTTTGTATTCCTAATCACCATGTATGGGCGTGAAAGCTGGATGATTAAGAAAGGTGACCGGCGGGGGCGGGGGGGAGAATTGATTCGTTTGACATATCCTGCTGGAGGAGAGTTTTGCAGATATCCTGAACTGCTAGAAAGATGAACAAGTAGGTCCTAGATAAAATCAATCCTGAAAATCTCTGAAGGTGAAAATGCTGAAGCTGCGGCTGTCCTAATTTGGGCACCTCATGAGAAGGCAGGATTCTCTGGAAAATATGATTATGCTGGGAAAGGTCCAAGGCAGCAAGAAAAGAGAAAGACCTCATATAGTCCACCTGGCTCCAACACTTTTAGCTTTTCAGTGCCAGGCAAAGACCTTTCTGTTTAGCCAGCATTTTAATTAAATAGTCTCCTTTACCTGGCCGTATGAGCAGCAGGATTTATTAATGATAAACTGACTGTTTTAATACAGGGTATTATTATAATATTGCCTAGTTTTAATGGTTTTCTAAAGTTTTAATATTGTTGTACACCACTCAGAGACCATTGATAATGTCACGGCTAAAAAAATCTTGTACATAGATAAATAAAAATATATGAGATGGATTGATCCCCTAAAGGAATCACCAGCTTGAGTTTTCAAGAACTGAGCAGGGTAGGCGAAGACAGGCCATTTTGGGGAGCACTCATTCATGGGCTCACCGTAAGTCGGAAGTCACTTGATGGCACATAACAACGAGATGTTCAGGGAGTAGTTTTATCCTTGTCAGAGCTCAGTTTTCATGGCCAAGCAGGTATTTAAACCCAGGTCTTCTGAATCCTAGACTGACACACAAATACCAAGAGCGAAGGAATCTCAAACGTGGACATAAATATATCTAAAAATCTTTAGATATTGCTGCTTCTGTATGCCGATACTGCAACTCTGTTCTCATGTTTTGCAATACCCTAAACAGAACAGCAACAAACCTTGAAGTGTGGATTTAAAGTTCCTTAAATAAATAGGCCATGGCTGGAACATTAACAGAAACTATCAAGGACTGTACATTTTATATTTTCATGACCTTCCTCTACACCCTTCTCCCGCCCCTCCAATATTAAGGTGCCAGGTGCTTGTTTTGCTGCAACAAACTGACACAACCAACCCTTTGGAAACACAAAAGACAAGAAGTGCTACCAGAAGGACCTTTGCAA